CAACAATAACAGTGTAGATTCTTTATTGACACCTCAAATTCAACACTTCAAATTTAAAATTCCCCTTCTTCAAAATTAAACTTATTTTCTACAACACCCTGGCCATTTCTCTCCCTTATCCTTTCCTGGTGTCTATCAGTTAATAGCACCAACATCCACACAGTTTGCTAGGCCTGAAAGAAAAAAGTACATTCATTTTCATTCCTCTCCACCACACTCCCTTTATGTCTAATCTAATATCACATTCTGTATAGTTTACATATATCTTTCTAATATAAACCTACTACTGCATTTCTAATTCTAGCTGATATCATCTTTTACCTATTTTACTATCAACACTTTTTATTTTTCATATTTTGAAAAGTATTTGTTAAAAATAAATGAGTGGGTGTGTGCTATACTTCAAAAAATTTGTTTTGTTTTGTTTCAATCAGAGGGGGTTTTAATTGCCTCTGTAATATTTTATTCCTTAAGCTAGGTGGTCAGCATATTATTGTTTTATTATTCACTATAGTTCTCTGAAAGAACCCTGGTGGCACACAGTTAAGTGGTCATCTGGTAACCAAAATATTTGTGGTACAAATCCACCCAGCTGCTTCACAGAAAGACCTGGCAATCTGCTCCCAGAAAGCGTACAGCCTAGAAAACTCTAGAGGGTAGTTTTACTGCCAATAATATCACTGTGGGTAGAAAATTGACTCCATGGCACCCAACAACAACAACCTATTTTTTGATTGCCTGAAATAGTTTTTAATTTGAAACAAATTTAATTAACTGTGAAAAATAAAAATACCTTCACATATGATAAGACACTCTTGCTCCCTTAAACTACAGTATGTATTCATGAGAAGGAGAGTCATAGGTGGTACAGTGAGCTATTTGGAATTGCACATGACCCACAATGCACTTATCTGTGCCTTGGTTAGTGGCTAGAATCCAAGACTGCTCTCATCTTTATATGCCCAGGAGTCCAATCTTGTGTATGTATGGGGGGGGTAGTGATGGGGTTGGAGGGAGTAGGGAAGTGCTACTCATTTTAATCTTTTTATTATTATTATTTACAGTGATTTGGGTGAAGATTTACAGAGCAAATTCACTTTCCATACAGCAGCTCACATATACTTTGTCTCACATCATTGACCACAGTTTACCACAATGCAACAGCTCCCCTCCCACTTCCTCCCCATAATTACCTCTTCCCAGTGTCCATCCCTCCATACACTCCTGCCCCCTGAGCTGTCTCCCTGTGCATAAGCAGCCC